AATGTCATACAAAATTGATCCTAGACCTAAATGTAAAATATGAAACAATACAATTTCTAAAAGACAAGAAAATTTGGATGACATTAGGATTGGATTTTGAATGCAACAATAAAGGCACATCAATGAAAAATTAGTTGATTAGCTGGACTTCATTGAAATTAAAACTTTTGCTCTGTGAAGTAAATTGTTAGGGAATGGGAAGACAAACTACAAACTTGGAGAAAATATTTCCAAAAGGTGTATGTGATAAAGGAATACTATCGAAACCTTACAAAGAAATCTTAATTAACAGGAAGAATATGAAAAACTTCTTTAAAAACCTAAGGGAAAAAAATCTCAGAAATACTTCTCCAAAGATGATCAGCATATGAAAGATGTTCAGATTTATATGTTATAGTAATTGCAAATTAAAACAGCAATGACATAACACCACATGCATCRTCAAAAGCCAAAACACTGACAATCCCAAATGCTGCCAAGGAAGTGGAGAAGCAAGAACTTTCATTTGTTGCCTGTGAAAATGTAAATTTCACAGTCACTTTGAAATGCACTTTCGTAGTTTCTTACAAAACTAAAATTATTTTTATATAATACAAGAATCATGTGTCTTGCTATGTACTTAAATAAGTTGAAGGTTTTATGAACACACAAAAAAAATTTTTAAATGTCTTTATTTTAATTAGGTATATATGACAGCAGAATGCATTATGATTCATTGTAATAGCTTTATTCATGACTGCTGAAATTTGGAAGCAACAAAGATGTATTTCAGTAATTAAAGCTATATATAACCTGTGGTATGTCCATACAATGTACAGTGTTAAGAAAAAAATGAGTTTTTAAAAATCTACCTATCTATCTATTTATTTATTTATTTCAYCATGAGTAAATGACTAATTCAAAGCAACCAATCTGGACTCCAATAACATAGCACTCTGGAAAAATCAAAACAATGGGCACAATAAAAAAGGTTAGTGGTAGCCAGGGACTGGGGACACAGCACAAGGAATTATTATTATTATCAATAATTAATAAATTATTAATATTATGTTATTAACATAATATGTTAATGCATTGATTAATGTCTTATTAATACATTATATTAATAATATGATATAATAATATTAATGATATGACAATATTATTGATAAATGCCCTTATTCATTTGTCAATCTGTAGAATGTACATCAAGAATGAAACCTAATGTAAACTGTAGAGTATGGGTGATAATAACATGTCAATCTAGGTTAATTGTTTGTAAAAAAAATAGTACTGCTGTGATGAAGAATGTTAATAGTGAGAGAAGCTCTGAGTGGGCAAGGCACTGGGGTCTAGGGAAGGAATGCTATATTTTCTCCCCAATTTTTTCTGTAAACTCGAAATGCTTTAAGAATCTATTCCAAATGCCATTGGTCATTAAAAGTTCCACTTACGAGACTACAAGTATCTATGTAGTTMTTACCAGCTAAATTTGAGGCCCAAATCAGCAATTAAAATATGAGTTTCCATTAAGTTAAAGGAAAAAATTAGCATCTTAAAGCCAACTGTCATTGCTTGCATTATTTATTCATATATTAATGTGTAATTGGAGATTTTTGCTGAATAAAGACAAATGCATTTCTTTATTGAAGAACTTACTGTCCAAAGACAGAATGGAAATTTAGAAAAAACTGTTTGCTCAGAGACATCAAAATGATCATTATAATAGAATGAGGTGATTCCACAAATCTTACCATGTGGACAATACTTCTTATTCAGAGTTGTTATACCCAATCATATATTGAGATGAACCACACTGGCTTAATCGTTGGCTTATCTGCTTTTTTAATTTGAAAATTGGGATGAACACATATCTCATCAATATGATGATATTAAACACATGACATTATATTATACTCCAAATATTAAATTGTTTAAATATGGGAAGCAAATTTCTTGAATCTCAAGGAACCCTTAGTAGTCTTCCCAAATTGTTTAACTCCATATAAAAAGCTCTATTCTTTATTTTTTYCCTACATTTTTATTGGTGCATTATAGTTGTACATAATGATGTGAATTGTTGTTACATATTCATATATGCACACAATATAACAATATAATTTGGCCA